TTCCAAAGAAGACATCCAAATGGCCAACAGACACATGAAAAAGTGCTCAACATTGCTTGGCATTAGGGAAATCCAAATCAAAACCTCAATGAGATATCACCTCACACCAGTCAGAATGGCTAAAATTAATAAGTCAGGAAACGACAGATGTTGGCGGGGATGTGGAGAAAGGGGAATCCTCCTACACTGTTGATGGGAATGCAAACTGGTGCAGCCACTCTGGAAAACAGTATGGAGGTTCTTCAAGAAGTTGAAAATAGAGCTATCATACAATCCAGCAATTGCACTACTGGGTATTTACCCCAAAGATACAAATGTAGGGATCCAAAGGGGCACGTGCACCCTGATGTTTACAGCAGCAATGTCCACAATAGCCAAACTGTGTAAAGAGCCAAGATGTCTATCGACAGATGAATGGATAAAGAAAATGTGGTATATATATATACAATGGAATATTATGCAGTCATCAAAAGGAATGAAATCTTGCCATTTGCAATGACGTGGCTGGAACTGGAGAGTGTTATGCTGAGCGAAATAAGTCAATCAGAGAAAGACATTTATCATATGACCTCACTGATATGAGGAATTCTTAATCTCAGGAAACAAACTGAGGGTTGCTGGAGTGGTGGGAGGTGGGAGGGATGGGGTGGTGTGTGATAGACATTAGGGAGGGTATGTGCTATGGTGAGCTCTGTGAATCATGCAAGACTGTTCAATCACAGATCTGTACCTCTGAAACAAATAATACATTATATGTTTAAAAAAGAAGAAGAGGAAAGAGATAGCACGGGGGGAAATCGGAGGGGGAAATGAACCATGAGAGATGATGTACTCTGAAAAACTGAGGGTTCTAGAGGGGTGGACATTGGGAGGATGGGTTAGCCTGGTGATGGGTATTAAAGAGGGCATGTTCTGCATGGAGCACTGGGTGTTATACACAAATAATGAATCATGGAACACTACATCAAAAACTAATGACGTAATGTATGGTGATTAACATAATATAATTAAAAAAAAAAAACTAAACCTCTTAGCCCACAAGGAGTGTTGAGTATCTGTGCTCACACATGCACATGCACCTAAACCCACACACACAACCACCACAACAGACAGGGAAAGGCAGCCCAGTTCAGAACAAAAGCAGAGCAGAAAAACATGAGTTCTTTACAACAGGATTACATGCCCATGCATATAAATTATTTATAGTGTTCAGAATAGTTTTATTACTGCTTTTGTTACCCATCCCAGGCCCGTAAGAGCCATCAGCATAGTCCTAAGCTATGTTAGTAGGCAGCTTGGTAAATGATTATGAACATTGGGCACAGCATTTTCACTTTCATATCTGAAGTGTCTTTCCTACATCTGTGAAGTATCCTGAAGCACAAATATCTTTTGACAGTTTGCTGCCAAATGACTTCATCTCTTTTGTTGCTAATGGTTGATTATAACATCTGGATAAAGACTGAAGTGAAAAAAAATCCAAGTTTTAATATGAAGCAGATTAGTTTTGAAAATTCTATTATGTCAAAAATAAATGGCAAATACAAAAATCTCTTCACTGATTTACATGACATTATTTTTTTAGGTTGAAAAATAATTTTCTGAATATGGCAGCATGAACATTTCAATCATGACTCCTTGCTCCCATACCTTGTACAATTATGTTTGCTGTAGCTTGAACAGAGCCTTCATTATTGTCGGCGTGACAGGTAAATTGACCATGATCCTGCAGGGTGACATTCTGCAAGTATAGTCCTCCAGAAGTAGCCAGGTGCCTGGATCCATCCAGGGCCTCTCCACTGCCCCTAGTCCAAGTAACATGGGGGTGTGGGTGGCCTGTGGCCATACATTCCAAAGTTGTGCTGGTGCCAATTAAAACCTCTGTGTCCTGGGGCTGGATTATAAAACTAGGCTTGGCTAAAGGAAAGAGAAAAACAAAACAAAATACAACCAGTAGCAGTTAAGAAGTTTTATTTATTCTACATTGTGGGGGTTTTTTTTAAGATTTTTTAATTTTTTATTAGAGAGAGAGAGTACAAGCCAGGGGAGCAGCAGACAGAGGGAGAGGGAGAAGCAAGCTCCCCACCAAGCAGAGGATTGGACTTGGGGCTTGATCCCAGGACCCGGGGATCATGACCTGAGCCAAAGGCAGACGCTGAGCCACCCAGGCACCCCTCTACATTTTGGTTCTTAAAATTTTTGTCAATTTCAAAATGCCTTTATACTAAAATATTATATACATAATTAAATTCTCAAATAGTTAAATCTAAAACATTTGGGTCTTAAATCTAGATTGATATAAATGTGCAATTTTTTTAATAGATTGCTTCCCTTGATGCCATCATCACAGACACTGCTAGTGCCCACCTATTTTTTATTTTAGGGGCTAACTGTTCAAATTAGCCTTCTCAGACTCTCTTGCAGTTAAAGGTATCCATGTGACACAGTTCTACCAGTGAGATGTAGGCACACGTCCCTGAAAGAGTTTTCTTCCCATATAAAAGAACAGTCTAACTAGTCATTGCCTTTACTCCTGTTTGCTACCTGGCACTCAGGCATGAGTTTGGGTTACAAGAGCCAACTTGGGCCACTAGGTGACAATTATGAAATGGAGAAAAAGGTCTCAATGCAAAGGACTGAAGAATAGAAAGATATCATTGGAGCATTGGGCTAATGTGGCAGCTCTGTCCAGACTCCTGCACTGCTTGTGGCATACGAATAAACCACATTCCCAGGTGTGCATGTGCACACATTCACACACACACACACACACACACACCGTGTTTAAGCCATTTCTCATCAAATTTTCTGTCACTTTCAGCCAAATATAATACAAATTGACTTGCTAAGTATCCTTGTAAATACAAAATTTAGACTTCCATATGGAGTGTTCCACTCACTGATTCATAAGAGTTTCATCTTTTCTGGAAATCTCAAGCAGAAATTAAATACTTATGAGGATGTTAAACATGCTTAGTTACTGGGTCTAATTTTGGGGAGCTCCTTAATTTCTGAGATGAATATACCATTAAGAGTAGAGATAAATTTATTTAATCTAATTCAACAAGCAAGATTTAATTTAATTTTAACAATATTGAATGCCTTAAGTTAGATAAAATGCTAGATGTTGGGAAGATACAAAGATGCACAGGATACTCCTTTCTTCATAAGCTTATGCTTTAGCTACAAGGATAGAAGACAAACCACATAATCTGAAGAACTACAACATACCTTGGAAATCATTATATTACAGTAAGGTATAAGGTGCTATAGAAAAATGGAAAGAACTATTATAATAATTGAGGCATGAAAGGTTTTTGAAGTGAATCAATGGCAGTGGAAATGAAAAGGAAGACAATCTGATACATCTTGGAACCAAATTTCTAGAGACTTGATGAAGACAAGATAGCAATGGAGGCTGAATCTGAAGTTTTGGGAAGATAATAATATCAACAGTGATGGAAAACATAAGATGGAGTGCAGGTGAATGTGCTTGAGGAACATAAAATATTCACATTTGAAAATGAACAATAGTGCTCACTTCAGCAGCACATATACTAAAAATGAACAATAAGACAGTAGTGAGATCAATCTAAATCTCAGGAAAGATACCAGCAATAAAATCTTTGAAGTGTACATTAATTACTCAAGTTGGATGTTTGGGAATTGCTTTAAAACTCAAGGAGAGCTCAATGGAGGAAGAAGAAATGTGGTTAGGGCAGGCAGAATGGACAAAAAGCAGGTGGGGAGGGTGTGAGGAATGGCACAGTTGAGGCAGGCTGAAGGCCTTGGGAAAGAAGGAGAGGACCTTCAGAAAGGATCAGGAGGAAGTGGTGCCCAGAAGTCAAAGTCGGAATACTCCAGTGTGCAGTGTCAGGCTTGACCTGGAGGGCAAAGTGAATGACACTTTGGAAGGAGCTAGTGGGTTTGCCAATCAGAAATTACTGACGAACTCTGTAAGGAATTCCCATATTCAGTCAATCTCTGATTGAAATGTATTATTTCTCCTGGAATAACGCTTCATTCAGGGATGTTTTCTCTACTCCCTCCATCACTGCCAATGTCACTACTCTCCTCTGCATCGTCACCACAGCCGCTGACCTCCTCACCTTACTCTGTCCTCCTGCTTGTCCTCCAAACTGCTGCTTGGGAGATCTTTGTAACAGAGAAATCTAATTTTGAAACACTTAGAGTACAGTCATGAATGTTCAACTCTGCCTTACAATTCATCAAATCTCATGTAATTCCCAACCCTTCATCTGTATCATCCAGACATCCAGAACTTCATGTCTTGAATGTGCGCTGCTCTCTACCTTTCCTGCCCTTTCTACTAAGATAAGGTTTCAATCCTATTTATCTGGCTGTTTTCTACTTCTTGCTTTCAGCTTAGATGTCACTGGTCCTGGAAAATCCTTCCATGAATGAACACAGATCTCCAAGTCTGATCTAAGTGCTCCTCCTCTGTCAGGGGTCTGTTGGAGCTGGCTCTGGAAAGCCAGTTATCAAATTTTTGGAATTTTTCAAACTGACAGTTAAGCATAGCCATTATTAAAAATTAAATTACATAAACTTACAACTAAATAAATCTCATTAATATCAAAGATAAATTCTGACATTTACCACTTCTAATTATTTTGCATTTTACTATGATCTAAGGTCTTGAGATTATTGTGTCTGCATGGTGGAAATACTATGCAATGGCGTACTACTACACATCTCTTCCTAACTCCAAATTCAGTGACGTCATGTCAATCATTGGCAAATACTGCAAACTGGGGCTTTGCCCTCACCCCAAGAGCCAGTTTTTAAACATATACCAGTGGGGTATCTGGATTGGCTCACAGTTAAGTGTCCAACTCTTGATTTCAGCTCAGGTCATGATCTCAGGGTCATGAGATCAAGCCCCCACATGTTGGATCATGTGCTCAGCAGGGAGTCTACGTGAGACCCTCTCACTTCCTCTTCCTCTGCCCCTTCCAGCCCTGTGCATAGGTGTGCTCTCTCTCTCTAAAATAAATAAATAAATCTTTTAAAAATAAATAAATAACTAAACAAACAAACATTTACCAGCACACAACTATCCTTTCTGCTTCTATCCCCTTTCCTTATCCATCATAAAACTTACCATTTTGTTGAATTATGGCTATCACCTAATAGACTATAGACTCAGTAAAGTAAGACATAGTGTCTCACTATTTCCATCACCTTCCTGATAATGATATTACTAAAAAATCTGTCATAGCTATTGTGTCTGTTAAGCCACTGAAATTATGGCAAAGCAAAGCTCCTGGAAAGTTAAAGGAGCATAGGTTGTTAACTATACCATCTTCAACGGCTAGCTCAGTGCGCATTCAATAAATGTGTTGAGTGAATTAATTATGAATGAATAATTAAATTATTTGTTAGAAAGGTTGATAATCCTGCCTAGGTACCACTGATTCCCTCTGAGGATGCTGGGTCATCTTCTGAGGAAGCTGGATGGGTAATCAAAAAGACAATGACAGCCTTGGGACAGCACCTATTGTGACTAGAAAAGAATAGAACTAAGGCAAGAAATTAAAATAAACTTCAGGAGAAAAATACCTCAAGTTTTAGTAAAAAATTAGGAAGTGATAGACAATGGCAACTGTTTCACTTTTAAGCATTCCATACCTTAAAGAAGCAATATGAAGTCATTTTCTAGTGCAAATAACTATGGAGAACTGATGCATTTACATTAAGTTCAATCGGGGGGCGGGGAAAAAGTTGTACCTGGAGGACTGGAGTATCTGAGCATGGCATTCTGTGTCTTGACCTCCCCAGCTGAGTTTCTGGCCATACACTGATATTCACCTTGGTCTGACTCACGAGTGTTTCGTATCATGAGTGTCCCATCATCAAACAAGTTAAGTCGAGTATCATCTTCCAAATCCAATGAGTGGCTGGAAATACACATTTTACATACATATTATTTAATCCTAATCATATTGAAAACACCAGGAATGAAAATATAGTACCTTATAAATATGTTTTATTTACATCAACTTGTTTATTTCTAAATTGTCTTAATAATTCAGATCATTTTAATTTAAATCCTAGTAGCCCCTTCCTATTTCTGAGATTGTATCCTAAACACAGGTTTCAAGTCAAGACATGATAGAAAAGAAGGAGGTTTAAATGTCCAGCTTTCCAAGGCAGCATGAATTTGAACACTGAAGCCATCTCTCCAATATGAAACATACTTCAGCACATTGTTATACCTCTGAATTCCTATTTTTTAAAAAAGTGGAATCATCAGGTGGTGATATGTAAGCTTTTCACCTCTTTTCTGTGAGTCATTCAGTATGCACTTATATTTTGTTGAAGAGTAGGGAAATATTCATATTCAAGGCAACATAGCTCACAGCCGAGGACAATTATACAACATGGCATTAAATAAGCACACCCATTTACCCAGTTGTTGGAGGTTAGGCCCTCTTAACTGAACTGGACCATTTTGGAGATACTAGAAAAATGCTGTTTATCAGTTGAAATGGAATATCCATTGAGCACAGTAGTGAAGATTATCATCCAGAAAGTTCAGACATCAGTAATGTGTTTTTTTGGGGTTATCTTTAGCAATAAATGCAAAGCTACTGACACATAAATATATGTCAGAAGTTTCAACAGAATTTTTTTTGTCTTACCAGAGTATTTTTTCCCTTTAAAAATACTGAATAATCATGTGTGAGGAGGAATATAGATGTTCACATGAGTATGCTTAGTATTATAAAAATATTAAACATAAAAAATTTCCCACAACATACATTCATCACTCAGTAGGTATTTATTAAACACTTACTATATGTCACCCATCAATAACACCCTTAATAGAGGAAAAAGCCCATTGAGAGGATTTATTTCTTTTATAATTTGTTTGTTTTACAAAGCAAATGGCTTCCAAATAAACATTTGTCCTACTAATTTAAAAATGTGCCAACACTGAAGAGTAATAACTCATCTTTTCATATATGTAAAAACTAAAGCATGTTAAATTAAAGAGATGGAGAAACCATCCTTATTCAGCAGTTTTCATCACAAGGGATAAAGAGGCACATAATGGCCAAATTTCACATCCATTCTTTTAGAGTGGAGCAGAAGAGAAGACAGGACAGATAGACACAATCTGTTCTTCTTCGCCCACTGAAAAGCCTAATTTTAAGAACTACCAGTTAGTCAATGAGAACTTCAAGTTGCTATTTTTGAAGAGATTAGCTTTATGAAAAACTATATTGCTTTTGAAAGGCCAGCAGTGCAAAGCATAAGAAACTACATCCTAGATATTCCTGTAAATATAGACTGCCACAACTACTCAGTGCCAGGAACATGCAATGAACATCAGAAAACATGTTTGTTTGTTTGTTTTTTTAAGTGCACAAATTCAAAAGTCTTATTTAGTATTAAATGAATTACTTTAAACACAATTCTAAAATCATCTAACCTTGAACCCAAATAAGCCTACTTGCAAAGGAACATGCCAGCAATAATGGAATTTCACCTTTTCCAAAGATGAATTAGTTTCCTTAAAATTTGTTCCAGGAGCTTCTGAGCTGGTAAACACATAGAGATTTAGGTAGTGTCACACTCAGAAAGCATAGAAGCTCGCCACATACCTTGCCCTATGCATCTTTTCCATCTGGCTGTTCCTGAGTTATATCCTTTTTATAATAAACTATAATTTAACTCTTCCCAACTCCTTGGAATGATATGACAGACACAGTCCCTTACTTCATGGAGGCAGTCTTGTAAAAGGATAGACTAGTACAACATGGCATTTGTCTCAGCCTCCATGTGATGGAGAATTCAGACAAAAGAAAAAGGAGGGAGAAGAGGAGGAGGAGGAGAAAAATAGTTGCATACACATATTACACACAGAGAAATAAAGCAAATGTGGCAAAAAAAATTTTTGTTCTAAAACTGACTCCTAAAATATCAAAAGTTACCAAATGTGTACATGATATCTATCTTCTGACTAGACAGTGCAAGAGAATTCACCAATTTTCACTCTTTAGAATGATTTAAAACCAACAGCAGCACATCACACCCATAAATTTAAAATGCACCATTCCTTTTCCTGGTTACTTCCCCCTTTGTTCCTATCTTCTTCACTACACTGATAAAAGTTGTTTGCTCATGAATCATGATGTTCCTTCAAAAATTCAAAACAAGTCTTCATGATTCAATATACATATCACATTGTCAATTTGATGCAAACCAAGTAGCAATCATATGTAAAAACACAAAGGTTTGCTTAAGTAGAATTTACCTAGCCTTTTTCTCTTGAAAATGTACCAATAAACACATTTGATTTATTAAAGGCAATTCATTGCAGCAAGCATTTATTAAGTGCTTTCTAAGAATTAGGTCCTGTGGCTAGGTACCAGAAATATAAAGATGAATAAGTTATCATCTATGCCCATAAATTTAAAATATCTTCCACATAAGAAGGCATATAGTGAAAAACTATAAGCAGAATGTAATTATAAGGCTTGTTTGTAATCTATTGTAACTATTGTACTAATATTTGCCACAGTTTCATTTTTTTTAAATGGCCAAAATTCCCACAATCTAGAACCTCAACATTAAGAAAAACATGGTTGGTTTAGAAACCTCTTTAGTATTGTGACTATCTTGCTCAACATCTAGTGGCACTCGAAGATTATAAATTAAAAGCCAAAGTCATAGCCTTCCAGTTGTTTGCAATCTTTTCCTCTTATACTCATAGGTAAAACCTCTATTCCAACAAATATGATCTACCCTCTTTCCCAAATCCAATCATAATTGATTTCCATCCTGTGCCTTTACTCATTCATTCTCCAATTAGAATGCTTTCTCTCCTCTTTGAATTCAATCATTTATTAAAAAATTATTTTGATTATTATTTCTAGGTACTGTAATCACTTTACTCTCCTCCTGAGAAACCTAAAGAATCTCCAAACATCAATAAATGGTTGATTTCTAATTTTATTAAATTATGTTAAAAGAAAAGGGGTCTTTATGAAGTTGGTTCTTTACTATGAGTTGAGATTTTTGTTTCTTTATATGTGATCAATTTTGATAAACATTCTATAGTTACTTGAAAACATAGCATAGTGTAGCTTTTTATGTAGTGGATATATGTGTTACATATAAAACCAGCCTTCCTATGTTGTTCCTATTAATTTTTGTCCTTATTCTTTCTAAGAGAAGAGTACTGCAATTTCTCCCTATAATTGACTTTCTGCCGATTAATCCTGGTAATCCTCTTAATTTTGTTTTATTTTCAGACAGCTACTTTGTTAGGTATACAAAGGTTTGTGAATCTTATCTCCCAGTGAATTGTTGCTTTTATCATTTATGATCTAATGATATGCAATTATACCTTTTTCAAATTTATTTTGGTTGATATTAATCTGGATATATATAGCACCTTTATTTTGTTTAGACAACTTTGCTGTTATGTGTTTACCCATCTAGCTTCCACCTCCCCATATCATAATGTTTTAAATAAACATAAATAGCACATAGCTGAATTTTTTAATTCAATCTTATGTCTTTCAAAAGGCTACTTAATTCTGTGCATTCATTGTTTTTATTAATGTATTTAAGCTTATTTCTGATGAGATATTCTGTTCATTTTCTCTGTCTTTTGCCGTTCCTTTACTTTAATTCTATCTCTCCTCTCCTTTTGTTGATTGGTCCATTTTTCTTTAATCACTCTTTCACTTCTCTTAGTATGAAAATTGTATTCTCTTCCTTATCTTAGTATTTTATCATAATTTTTTTTTAAAGATTTTTTTTATTTATTTGAGAGAGAATGAGATAGAGAGCATGAAAGGGGGAAGGGTCAGAGGGAGAAGCAGACTCCCTGCCGAGCAGGGAGCCCGATGCGGGACTCGATCCCGGGACTCCAGGATCATGACCTGAGCCAAAGGCAGTCGCCCAACCAACTGAGCCACCCAGGCGCCCCAATTTTATCATAATTTTTAACAGGCCTCTTGACTTCTCAAAATCCAGTCAATATCATTGTACAATTCAAAAATGAGGCATGAAAAATTATTTATTTATGTCCTCTCTCCTTACAATATTTTTGTTAGTATCATCTAATATTTTACTTCTCTCTTACTTTAAACTTGGTCAATACTTTAACAATCTCAGTTTACTCATATTTATCAACATGTTTAAAAATACTTTGTTTTCACCTTTACTTCTTGCATATCATATCTTCCTTATTTATAATACTTTTCGCAAATATCCCCAAGTAAGCCTCAACTCCTTGAAAATGTCTTTATTTTACTTGTCAGATAATTTAGCTGAATATAAAACTGAAGGAAACTAGATTTTCTTCCCCTTAACAAACTAAATATATGTAATTACCTTCTGGTGTTTAAAGTTAACTGTCAGTGTAATTGTTATGCATTGTGGGTAATCTGAAAATTATCTTCGATTGAAAGATTTTATCTCTTTCAATTTTCTTTTTTTAAATTTTATTATGTTATGTTAATCACCATGCATTACATCATTAGTATTTGATGTAGTGTACCATGATTCATTCTTTGCGTATAACACCCAGTGCTACATTCAATACCTGCCCTCTTGAATATCCGTCACCAGGCTAACCCATCCCCCCACCCTCCTCCCCTCTAGAAC